GTCAGTTTTACGGGCATGTAAAAATACGCTATGATCGGGATAATTTAATCGACGTGTATAGCGACAATGGCACCACCAAGCGCGTGCTCTACGAGGGAGCGAGATATAACCAATGTAACCGACGCACGTGTAAGAGCAGAAGCGGGCTTTTCCGCGTGAAGACTGTTGTGGTGGAGAAGCTAGCTTTGAAGGACGATTTTTTGGGGCGGTTACGCATGCACGCACAGACAGACACATTCTGTGTCGAGTGCGCCATAGCCTTTGCAAAAGCCCCAATGTGCCTGAGAATAACGCGATGCGCAACCTGATACAAATAGGTGCGTGCACAAGAAAGGGGGGGGGGGGGGGGCTATGCACGCCTATGCTGGTGCCGTAATCCGGAACACCTAGAGACCGTTCGTACAAGTAGGTCAATGCTCGTGGCTGCCCACCATGGCACGCCACAGCCACCAATTATTGTTTTGCCAAGAGAAAGTAGCTTATCAGCACTTTTATTTTTATTAATGCGCATCAAATAACTATGCGCGGTGGCTTTGCGGCGATATTGACGCATTTAAGAACGAGGTTTTGGATTGCTCGTGGCCGACAGATGGTGAAATACGTTATAAAGAAACGCATCACATGTAGGAGAATTCCACACCGATGGCGCAAGAAATTTCACCTCTAAAGTAACGCCGCAGACAGATAAAACGCTTAGGATTCAGGTATGGTGTGTGTGTAGTGATGCCTTCAGCACTGTCGTCCGTAATAATAGTTGTCGTGGTTTAACGTCCAGCAGAGCCACCGTACGGTTATGAAAAAAAAAAAAACGTTGTAGTGGAGGGCTCCAGATATTTAAGCCACCTGTTTCTTAACGTGCACCCAAAATCTAAGTACGCGGGCTGCAAGCCTTTTCACCTCTATCGAAAATGCGGCGGCCGCCTGCACTGTTGTCTGTAGCCACCCGGGTACAAAAGGAGCGTTCGGGCACAGGACTGCAAATGGGTTCTGCGGAATGATGCGAGATGGCGAGAGGGTTGAGAAGTGCAAATCGATAACTAACCATTCGTAGCACGAAACCGTGGGGAATCCCGCGTGGACTTCTCAGAAAGGAAGCTTCTTAGCTGCCGGAAAATTCGTCCTGGTACTGGGTTCGCACCCGAGACCAATGCGTTTCCGGGGTTGTCAACCTACAAATGTGAGCTAATCAGGAAGCTCAATTGACAGAGCGACCAGGGAGCTCAACCAGGAAGGCTTTAGGGTTATGCGCTTTCTGAAGGCTTATACTATAGGCACTATGCCAAAGTATGTGTTCGTACTTTTCTATCACTACAACGTATCTGTGGCCAGCTAATTGCAATTACCGATTTGTTGGGGTCCGCTACCGCAGTAGGTGCGCTCCAGTTTGTCAATTCTGCGAGGAAAAAGGGTGGGGGGCAGCTTACTTTAGCACCCTTACCGTACGTATTCTGGTCGAGAATCGCAATTTAGAAGAACAAATGCTTGTGTGATTTTTTAAGGCTCCATGACAAGACAGCTTCTCTTTTATCGTGTTTTCTCGCACTTCATCGACTCTCTTCCTGCCGAAATGTACTTCTACATCTACTTTCTTGCTGGAATGTACCTTGCGTGCGTAAACTTGCAAATTTCGATGACCTCACGAATTGATCTGGTGTGCTACCCATAATGCATTGTTTGTTTTGCTGACATTGCTAAAGTTTTTCCTTTACTATTATTTACTTACGCAGTTTCCTTCTTTCTTTGCGGGGGAGGGGCAGAAGATGAAACATATACGGATGGAGGGAATAAATTTGATTTTGTATCCGGCGTGTTAGTGGGCTGGGCTCCCGCCTAGGTGTAGACGGTCTTGCCTCCTGGCGGCTTCCTCGGCCCGCTGGATTGCCCATAGCTGATCGTCCAGGGCTGAACTGAGCAGCACGGCCAGCCAACACGCGCGGAGGCTGTCGGTGGAGGCCCCGTTCTCATTACTGTGTTTTAATTCCTGGCATTCTAATAGTATATGTTCCAAGGAAGCTCGTGCCTGTCAATCTTTGCATTGAGTGGTCGCGTAGATCTCTGGATACATAACATGTAGCTGCGCTGGATTCCTATATGATCTAGTTTGTAATTGTCGCCATTGAACATACTGTGCCGTGTGAAATCTTTTTTTTTTTCTAGAGACCTATACAATGGCTGTGCCTCTCCCATCAGCAAAGCGTTCGTTTGGGTCACATGATACTTTAACTTCTTCAGCGTCGTGACGTGGACTCAGGTGATCGCAAGTGACGTCCGGGTTCAAACACACTGTAGCGTGGTAGCATTCCGCGCTTGACGCTCCCGCGTGACGTAACGCAAGAAGGCGCGTCATCGACATTATCATCCGGCCTGACGGAGAGCCCTTGTGTTTACCTATCTCCGTTTGCTGCTATAAACGTAAAGAATGTTAGCTTTTTTTTTTACCACTGCCGCGAGTTGTGTGCGCAGTTCGTGAAATGACGCACCGGAGACGCGTTTCGCAGGTACTGGGAAGCTCTGCGTGATGTCACAGCTAGAAGCTGGCATTCAGGATGTCCAGCGAAGGTATAACGAAAGAAAATGCAACTTCAATGTGTTCCGTTGTATAAGGACACCATGTGAAGAGCATTGACTAGTTGGTACGTGGCTGAAGTTGAATTGAACGCGCACATGCTCGCACAGGGACTAAGAAACACAGGGCGCGGAGAAGTAGTCTTGAAGAAATCCTACGCCTGCGTGCCTGTTTGCGAATTCGCGCCGTCATTTCAACTTCAGCACAAAGACTTACACAAAAGGTGCTTCCGTACTACCTTTCACTACTCGTAAAACTTTGCAACTGAGTAGTTGGTATGCGAAGCATGGCACGGATATCTTATTTAGTCGCATTCGCTGCATGAAATCGCCGCATGGGGGAACGTGTAAGAAGAAGATGACTTATTAGCATCGTCGAAAGCAACACTGCTCTGAAAGGTCGTATGTATCGTAGATAATAAATAAAAAAATCTGGGTATTCTGGTACTGAAACGGAGAAGGTGATGTATATACTTCACCAGAAGCACGACCCCTTATAAAGGTCACCGTTCTCTTTCGACAAAGTCATTTACACATTTGTCTGGAACCTATCAGCGAGGCTCGAAAAATTGTCTTCGTATACGATTGCGTACAGGAATGGAGCCGAGATCTTTTTACTGTCCGCTTCGGTGGATCGGTGGCTACAGTGCTCGGCTGCTGACCGGAAGCTAGGTCGTGGGTTCATCCCGGCCATGGTGGTCGCATTCCGGTGGAGGCAGCATGGTAGAGGCCCATGTTCTGTGTGACATCGGTTCACGTTAAGGGGCCCTGCAACATTCTTTGAGCATGGTCAGAAGATGCTACCGATTGGTAGCAGAGGCTCCCGAGAACACGCGAGACAAATATTCTAGCGCAGCACGCGGCCGGGAATTCACAATAACTTACCGAAGCCAGCTGAACATTGCTTTCTCTTCCCTCGACGAATGACGGAGGAAACTCAAAAATCACTCGTAGAAGGCCATCTAACAGCCATTGGCTGATTCGAACATCGCGCGCTCGGTCGTTACAGGAATCGCCACGGGAGGCCGCAACTTGTCCACGCGTGCGCGTGCGATCACCCTGAAAAGGCTGCGTATTCGAAAATAAAAGAGAAAAAAGTGCTCAAGGTCTCGAGGCGTGCTTGACGTATTATCTTTGCCCATGCCATCCCTCCCTGCTTAGCTACCAGCGCTTTCGTCGGGACGAGAGAAGAGAGAATGCGATTGCAGCGTGTGACAAGTCATTGTAACTCGGCTCATACTGAGCGGACTCTTAAACTTTTTGCGGCGTTGAATTCGTGAGGCAATAAGGTCTTTTAGTGAATCCGTTCCATGATTACTTGAAAAAAATGTTTCAAGGCCCCTTTAAAAGACACCGGATGTTTGAAATTTTTGGGGCCCTCCGCTGCAGCGTCCCTGATAAGCATGTTTTGGTTTTGGGACGTAAAACCCCAGATATTATCATTATATATCGTTTTACTGAGGGGAGAGGCAAAAAGGCAGGAAACTTAGCGTTATGTTTTGACAATGTTTTTTTTTCTAATGAGTGGAGGGGTGCTAAAGTGTGTAGGCGGAAATCTCGAAGCTGCCTCACTGCGTGCCCACCGCTGGCGTCTGGTTTGGTTGTGACTGAACTGCCCTGTCCTCATTTCAATCGTTCGGAGCCAATTATTTCGCTTGAACGACTAGACACGAAATAAAAGAAAACGAAAAATATTGCAAGAAACACCTGTGCACATGTGTCAAAGCCATATATATATATATATATATATATATATATATATATATATATATATATATATATATATATATATATATATATATATATATATTATATATATATATATATATATATATATATATATATAATCTCAAAGTACAACTGAGAGCGTATTCTGGAATGGCCTTCCTTGCACGTGACATTTCCTGTTTCACTGCGCTGGCTGCGAAAATCGCTTCGAGGGAATCTTGGCGACTATATGTGTCGTCACACGTACCCAAAGCGCACATCGTTACGTCCGCGCGCAGCGTCCCGCAGCTCGCAAACCTTAAAGTTATGCAGGCAGGGCAACGTTAGTTAGCCTTGTTTGAGCTAAAAAGCGGCAAATGCAGCCAGCTGTCGTAATAAAGAGAAGAAAAAAAAAGCCTGGCTGCTTTCTCATGCTCGTAGAGAGGTGCGCGCATTTGCATTTGGCGCTGACGACGGGTCAAGCTACGGCAGGCAAAGTGGTTCCGGCGACGCGGACAGCTTACAGAGAAGGGAGCCCTGCCAGCGTTTCACAATCCCGTGCTTCGTGTTCGCATATCGGCAGCAGCGGCGCGCTGTCCTTGAGGGGGCCCCCCTCTTCCACTCGACGTGATCGGCGCGCGCGGAACGCAAACGACGGAGCACAGCGCGCACCGTAGTACACCTTCCGGAAGCGCGACCCACGTGGTTCCGGCCGTGACGTGCGTAGATGGACGCCGTGCAAAGGCTGGGTGCGGTTTGCTGCTCGTCGTGCTTGGTTTGGTTTGGAAAAACTTTATTGACAAGTCCGAAGGCGTGCGCCCTAGCACACGGCGGGCCGCTCCCACGATGGGACAGTAAGGCCGAGCCCTAGCGCCGCATGCTGTGGCCGCCGCGTTCCGAAAGCCGCGATCGTCGGGCTCCGGTGACGGACAACACCCCCGGCCTGGCTACCCGGGATTGAGGCTCGGGATACGGAAACCTGTCGCGCCGCCGAGCGCCCATTGGTTTTGTGTAGTGCGTGTGTGTGTGTGTGTGCAGCCGTGCGCGCGTGTTGTGTTGACTCGTGGGCCGTGCGTCGTTCGTGCGCTCACGCGAGCAAGTGGCGAGCGCGGCGACATCAGCGCGGGAAATTCGAAGCTGCAAATGAGTAAGTGGCACAGCGAGAAGGCGAGTGCGCGCGCATTGGGCTTGTTTTTGCGTTTCGTCTGATGTTTGCTTTGAGGAAATGCTAGTAGTGTTTCGCTTGCCGACGAATTCGGGTCCCGCTGTTTATATGGATGGATTGTGCACGCGCGCCGAACTGCAAAGACGCGAGCTCAATTTCGCGTGCGTGCGCTGTGAATGGTAAGAAAGCAACGAAGGCACACACGTAGCGCCCGTCTCCAGTGGGCTAGTACCGTTCTGAAAAAATAAATAAATAAATAAATAAATAAAAGGACTACCATTACCTTGGTGTGTTTGTAAAATGTTTGAAGGGACGAGTGAAAGAAAGGGGATGTACCAAAGAACGACGTCATTTGGAGGCACTAGGTTCAACGCCTCCAGTTTCCGATTGTCTGTGGTCGTCATGACGCCGGCGGGTCTGCGTCGCAGACGGAAATGTTGGAGCCATGCTTAGCGTGCTTTGTCAGTAGAATGACGTCACAAGAAGAATCGGAACATCGAAGCCGTTATCTCGGGCCTGCCTCGATAGCCAGTTATAGTTCTTTCCGTGCCTCTCGAACAATCGTAGCCTGCCGCGGCAAGGGCCGTAGTCACTGTGCTGCGCCAGGCGCTTCGGTTCAACGCCAGGAAAGCAAATCCTTTTTCCGCGATGCGTCCCTCTACGGGTGGTCGAGAGCTTCGTCGCTTTTTTTTACGCGTACGAACAGATGTAGGAACGGAAACTGTTTTCATAGTAATGAGTTTGATTCGCAGTGAGGAAAGAGCCGGCGCACGCGCGAGCTGCAGCGTGCTACATTTGGCAGCTGCACAGCGAAACGAAGTGAAAGGTTGACATACGTATATTCTCGCATTGGGGTCATTGGAAGCATTGCATTGTCGTGCCATTTCTGTAATGTACATTAAAAAATAAGAAAAGCAATGAACATTTAGGTGGTTGACACAATGGATGCTTTCCTCCTGTTGACGTTGCATGAATGTCGCCGCTGCAGAAAAAGGGGATTCCTCTGAGACTTTCTAGATCCTTTTATAGGCTCCGTATCCAGCTTGTTTGCATGATGATTTTTTGAATTACGAAATATGTAACGGTCGTGCTTCTAGAAAGATAATGATTACTCGAACGCTCGATGCCTTTCGTTAATAAATATTGTTTAAATATTGATAATAAGTATTGTTTAAGATTTACCGGTTGCCTTCACTAATAGTGTGTCTCGCACTGCGATTGGATGTCACGTTCTTTTGAAAACAACTTTGGCATAGAAAGAAGATTACACTTACATAGTGAACAGAAATGCCACGGGGGTTTTAAAAGATGCAGCATCAACACGCCCGGGCCTCGCATTGCAGCCGCGATGTTGATTTTCGTGTTTTTATGATCGCAGCAACCTGCGAATGCTGGCAAAGAAAAAAAAAACGTAAGTTAGTGCGACACACACACACACACACACACACACACACACACACACACACACACACACACACACACACACACACACAAACAAACAAACAAGCGTTATGTATAGGTGCGTTGTCAAAAATGACGGTTCCGGCACGTGGTCGTTAACTTCGTGGTGTGGAGGAATTCTCAGTGACAGAGCTTAACCACTGATGCGCAAACAAAACGGTGACATAGTTTTTTTTTTCTTCCTCCCAACGCCCTAATTTTTGTTCTGCGCTTTCGCCGATGGAGCGCGCATGCGGGTGCAGGCGTACGTGCTTGCATGGCCCAACGGTTCTTTGCCTATGTATATGTATCTGTGACCTAGCCTTGAGAGGCAGCAGACGATCCTGTGGTGGCTTCGGTAGTACAGCTATGCCTCTGTAGTGAGCAGTATGCAGCACTCACGTTTGCGCACTAAAACGCGTAGAAAATCAATTTTAAACGCCCGTAGCTTGAAGAATTATATACGTGTACGAAAAAGTGGGCCTTTGAAACACGAAGACGGCCGCCGTGTGTTGCAGCGTCGCTAGCGCCAGGCACGAAGCGATCGGTGTATGCAGGGATATGTTCACTGTATCTTTTCAAAGTTCATATTCTTCTCTGGCTGTCGACCTCAGTCTGATATGAGTTGACTTCACTAAATTATTTTGCATCTTTTTTTTTAACTATGTGTCGTGTCTTCAACTGCGCCGAGAAGACAACACGCTGTTTGCGCTGAGCAACGCCGTAGCCTTGGGTTCTATTCTCGGCCGCAGAGGGTCGCATTGTGATTGAGGCGATGCGCAAGATCGTCTGCTTCCAGGTGGTCGGAATTTCCGGAGCCCTCCACTACGGCGTCTCTCATAATCATGTGGTGGTTTTGGGACGTTAAACCTCACACATCAATCAATCAATCAATCAATCAATCAATCAATCAATCAATCAATCAATCAATCAATCAATCAATCAATCAATCGAGATCGTCTTCTTCGGTGGAGCTTGAAAGAAACCTGCTGGTCAAAATTAATGATTTGTGTGGTTTTACAAGCCCTAACCACGATATGCCTATGGGACACGCTGTATAGTGGAAAGCTCTGAATATTGTGATCAACTGGTGTCGTGTATGTGCGCCGAAATCGCAACAGTACGTACGGGCCTTTACCGCTCCGCCTCGACCTACGTGCGACCACTGCACCCGCTGTGGTGGTGCAGTGGTTGCGGTGCTCCAGGGTTGTTGACCCGGAGGTCGCGGCTGCCACATTTTGATGGGGGCGAATTGCTAAGGACCCGTGTACTTACTTTTGGTGCCGCCCCGCCGCGGTGGTCTATAGTGGCTAAGGTATTCGGCTGCTGACCCGCAGGTCGCGGGCTCGAATCCCGGCTGCATTTCCGATGGAGGCGGAAGTGTTGTAGGCCCGTGTGCTCAGATTTGGGTGCACGTTAAAGAACCCCAGGTGGTCGAAATTTCCGGAGCCCTCCACTATACAGCGTCTCTCTTAATCATATAGGGGTTTTGGGCGTTAAACCCCATATATCAATCAATCATTACTTTTGGTGCACGGTAAATAACACCAGACGGTCGAAATTTCCGGAGCTCTCCACGTACTACGGCGTCCCTCATAACCATATTGTGCTTTCGGGACGTAAAACTACAACAATTATCGATGCGACCGCCGGTGCTGGGTTCGAAGCCTTGACTTTCGGGTCGGCAGCCGAGAGCCGTGACCAGTGTAAGTGTACCACCGAGGAGGACGCTCGTCAAGATTAATGGATCACCCTTAATACGGCGCGCCTCGTACTTATTTCGTGGTGTTTGTCTGTGAGTACGTAAAACCGCATTAGTAGGGAAACGAAATTGCTGTCAAGAAGACCGCAACTGGAGTGCAGACCGTCACTCCGCCTACTTGAAAAAAAAAAAAAAAAAGTGAGATTGGTCGGTAAAAAAACAGGGCTGCTATTTCGGACACTCTCGAAACTGGCCACGGTGGTCTAGTGGCCAAGGTACGTGGCTGCTGATCCGCAGGTCGCGGGATCGAATCTCGGTCGTAGCGGGCGCGTTTTCGAAGGAGGCGAAAATGCCTGAGGCTCTTGTGCTCCTATTTAGGTGCGTGTGAAAGACCCCCAGGTGGTCGGAATTTCCGGAGACCTCCATTACCGTGTCGCTCATAATAATATTGTCACGTTCTCTCTCAAGAAAGAAGATGGCAGTTGTGCATGTGCCATGAAGGACTATAAAATGGACAAAAACGAAGAACTCGTTTGCGCGTTCCATCAAAAGTCCGACCTGCTTCTGGTGTCTCAATCTCTGCGACAAGACATCTGTTTTGACGTCGAGTTCTTCGTTTTAGATGCGGAAGCATCTTATACTCGCGCCTTGTAGTGCGCCGTCCGCGCCGTCCGCACCGCTTCTCGAACATTCGACAGCTGACGCGCGCGCATGCGCCGTCGCGCCGTCGCCCACTCTTCCACCATCTGTGCATCCCTTCCTCCTCTACACACCGCGCGCGCTTCACTCCTCCACCATCTGTGCACCCTTCCTCCTCTACACACCGCGTTCGACATCTACAATTCTCCTGATTCTCCAGTGGACGCGCATGTGGCGTCGCGCTTCGAGAACATGGACGCTCCCTGGATTTCGTGCCGACCGGTTGTGCGCCCGCGCGCTCCGCGCGCTCGCGACCTTCGGCGTCATCGTAGCTCTGGCCGACTGGGCTGGCCCTACGTCATCTCCTGTCGCCGGCTGTCTTCGGTGACAGCGCAGCTCTGACCTACTGGACCTGCTCTACGCCATCTACAGACGCCGACACCATCTCTCGCAAGTGTACCCCGTCCTCGGACTCCAGTGACCGTTTTTCCATCTTTCCTGTCTCTTCTATCCCCTCAGTTTGTTGTTGCTTCTTCTTCCTCTTTCCTATACTTTTACCTCTACCCTTTTATCCCTCCTTACCCCCATCCCTTTGTGAGCTCTGTGGCGGTGTCGCTCACTGAAGCAGACAATAACGGGGCTCACTTTTCTCTTCCTTTCTCTCAAGAACCACTCCGCTTCGAGAACATTCAACAGCTGACAGTGCATGCGCCGTCACGCTGTATATATACTCAAGGTCGGCGCTCGCTCGCTCAGTTGCCGCTCGTCGGTTGGTTTGTACGGCGCGTCGACGTCCAAGGTCGCGGTGAAATGAATTCCAACGAATCCACAAACACAATGATCGACGTCCCTTCGACCAGCGCCGCCCTTTCGCATACGTGTGTACGTGTTCACTCATTTAACACCCCCTCCTACAACCACGTTAACCAATTTAGCCATCGACCCAAGTAAGTCGCAATTTAACACCCCATTTCACAACCACGTTAACCAATTTAGCCATCGACCCAAGTAAGTCGCACTTTAACACCCCGTTAACCAATTATATGCTCCGCATCCTCCTCAGTGTTCCCCCGAGGGAAGCTGCGGGCAATTTTTTTGTCCATTTTATAGTCCTCCATGGCACATGCACAACTGCCATCGTCTTCCTTGAGAGAGCACGGGACAATAAGGTGGTTTTGAGACGTTAAACCTCAAAAATTTA